AGTTGCGTCAACAGCAATCACTGGTCTACAATGATTCCAACCAGCTATTGATGATAAATATGCATAAAACATATAAAGAAACCTGAAAATACAATATAAAAGAAGGTTAACAGAAGTTAATGACAGGTAGTCCTGAACTTCAGATTACAAGGTTAAAAGTTAAGGACAGTTAGTCCTTAACTTAGAGTTTGAAGTTATAAAGTTAAGGACATGCGGTCCTTAACTTTGATTTCAAAGTTCAAACATAAGGACCGACAGTCCTTAGCTTTGAATTACAAGTTCAAAAGTTAAGGACAACCAGTCCTGAACTTCTGGTTACAACTCAAAAGTTAACAAGGTTAAAGACAACATGTCCTAAATTTTATAAAATGTACTAATAAACTTTTTTTTGATTGTTTACCTGTTGTTGTCGTCTATCTTTATGTTAGTATAAGTTCCTGGGTTTTTACTTGTCATCATACACAAGTATGAAGACAATAATTCATAATTCTCTTCAGGAGTTCCTCTTATTAAAGCGGAAGCATGTTGAATAGCACGCCACGCCTTGTGATATCCAATGTCTAGTCCATGCAATTTTTGCATCTCTGCCATGACAAAAGCTGGTGTAACTTCAAACCTTGGGTCCCGAAGATTGTCGATAATGTAAGCACTAATCAACTTTGAAGTAGCATGCCTTTGATCTGCTTTCATTGTGTTAACAGAGCAGTCATGCTTTTTCTCAATCTTTACTATCTTGAACAGTGTTGAATCTTTAATTCTGAAAGCACGCACACACCAACAACACCTATCATCATTGCATTTCAACGAATATCTTGTTGAGCTTGATCTAACAACCTTGAATTCAAAATGTCCTTTAATTGCTATATTGGAAAAACAGTTAATTATACTCTTCTTCTTGTCAAATACTGATCCGACTTTTATTTCTTCCAACGAAGCATTTTCTCTTAATATCGTAGTTGGGGTTTCTTTTTGTTTCAAATTTTATCTCCGTCTAGTAGTTGAGTAGAGGTTTTTTCAGCAACTTCTTCGATTACCGGTGCACTCTCTAAGACTTGAATACCTAGAGCTTGTTCATTGTCAATCTCTATAATGCTTTGTCCTTCTACTTGAATAGAATCATATGTTTGAAGCACCTCTTCAGTTATTGGTTGAGCTTCATCCGTATCTATTTCCATTTTCTGTTGGCATTTGTCTTGATTGTCATCTTGAGTTTCTCTGTTGACATGTGTTTGAAGCACCTCTTCAACCATATCTATTTCCATTATCTGTTGGCATTTGTTTTGATTGTCATGTTGAGTTTCTGTGTTGACATGTTCATTGCTTGTTGATCCAAAAACTCTTTCCGAAATATCAACAATGAAACGACAACCCTTGAAGAGTGAATGAGTTTTTAGTAACTCTATACATGTGTGAAGATCTAAATCTTTGGATACAAGCATTCCTTTGCTTGTTCCAAGGTTAATATCAAACCATATCACTGCTTCAAACTTGTGTCTATCCAATTCAATAACCTCAAAGATCTGTTTAATGAAATCTTCAAACCGAATTGACTCAGGTACTAGAACAAGCTTTGTTTGATGATCAAGATATTTATAGTCTTCAGTCCATCTACCATTAAAAACAACTATAATGTATATTGTTTCCATCCTGCAAGTCAAGAGAATGGGAAACTCAGGACATATTTTATAAAGCAATCCTTGTATAATTAAGAACAGGTACCGTAAGTTCAAGACCAAGTTAAGGACCAAGTGTCCTTAACATTTTAACTTGGAATTCAAAGTTAAGGACTGACTTCCTTAACTTTTGAACCTGTAATTAAAACTTAAGGACTGCCTGTCCTTAGCTTTTGAACTTGGAATTCAAACTTAAGGATTGCCTGTCCTTAACTTTTGAACCTTCAAGTCAAACTTAAGGACTCATGCCCTTAACTTTTCAACCTGTAATTCAAACTTAAGGACTTCCTGTCCTTAACTTTTGAACTTGCAAGTTAAACTTAAGGACTTCCTGTCTTTAACTTTTGAACCTGCAAGTCAAACTTAATGACTCATGTCCTTAACTTTTCAATCTGTAATTCAAACATAAGGACAGGTTTTAACTAATAAGTTTAAGTTAAGGACCAAATGTCCTTAACTTTTTCAATTTGAAACTCAAACTTCAGGACTGTGTCCTTTACTTTTTCAAAATACTTTGCAAAACTATGACAGTATGTCCTTAATATACAGAAGAACATCAACAAAGTTAAGGACATTGTGTCCTTAACTTTTTCAATTCAATTTGCAAAATGAGGACACTATGTCCTTAATATTATGTGCTCAATTTTTATAGAATTATCATAGGAGGCGATGTCCTTAACTTTATCAATCCAGAAATTCAAAAAAAAAATCAAATTTCTACTTACTGTATAAAATTAATAGAAATCGGAAAGAGTATAACTATGTCGAAAAAATATCAACAGAAACACATAAAAGTATAACTTACTGTAAATATATGTCGATTTTTGGATGAGAATGTTGAATTTTTGAAATAGGAAGAGAATTTTCTTCAATTTCGACTATCACAGTGAAGTGCTGCTGCGTTGCTGCTGCACTGCTGCTGCTGTGCTGCTGTTGCTCGTTAATGTTAGCGTAGGTATAAGTTATAGCAGAAGGGTATTTTCGTCCAGTCAGCTATAAGTTTATTAAACCAGTGGCTAAAGACTAAAGACATTTAAAACACTGGCTTTAAAATAAAGACAGGTGCTGTTAGTGGCTATTTGTGCACATAGCCCTCGTTATTCTTGACAAGCCCATATATATTTGCTAACAATAGTGTTCGGGCAGATAAAAAAAATAGTAATCGGGTTATGTTATAAATATATTATATTATGGATCTTCATTTAGTACTCCGTTGTAAATAAGCTTCCTGAAGAAGCTTATCCATATGGGACTCCGCCGTAAATATGTTTATCTATTTAGTACTCTACAGGAAATAAGCCTCCTGAAGAAGCTTATCTCTTTGGTACTCGGTTATGGATAAGCATTACCCACGGTAGAAGATTATCCATACCGAGTACAATAAGCTTATCCTTTCGATACTCTGTTATGGATAAACATTACGCCCTGTAGAAGATTATCCATACTGGGTACAATAAGCTTATCCTTTCGATACTTCGTTATGGATAAACATTACCCCTGTAGAAGATTATCCATACAGGGTACAATAAGCTTATCCTTTCGATACTCCGTTATGGATAAATATTACTCCCGATAGAAGATTATCCATACCAGGTACAATAAGCTTATCCTTTCGATACTTCGTTATGGATAAACATTACCCCGGGTAGAAGATTATTCATACCGGGTACAATAAGCTTATCCTTTCGATATTCCGCTATGGATAAACATTACCTCCAGTTGAAGATTATCTATATCTGGTACAGTAGCAGCTTACACAACAACTTGCTTTCTTCTATAAATAGAGGAGATTTCAGTTTATTATGTACATAAGTTTGAAGTTGAATAATATATCAGTTTCTCTCTATACTTGTATTTAGCTTATTTACTTTACAGTCGTTATTTTATAACACGTTATCAGTACGAGACTCTGCCATCTCGAGCAAATACTTTGAAAGTATCAGAGGTACGAACTTTCTTTTTCTAAATAATGTCGAATCTCTCTAAACTTGAATTTGTAGCCCTTGATATATCGGGAAAAAGCTACATGTCTTGGGTGCTTGATGCTGAAGTTCATCTTGATGCGATGGGTCTGCCAGACACCATCAAGGACAAAAATCAAGCATCAAACCAAGACCGTGCCAAAGCAATGATATTCCTACGCCATCACCTTGACGAGAGCCTGAAAATGGAATATCTTACTGTTAAAGATCCAGTCATACTGTGGAATAATTTGAAAGATAGATATGACCACCTGAAGATGGTCGTTCTTCCACAGGCACGTTATCATTGGACTCATCTAAGTCTACAAGATTTTAAATCTATCAGTGAGTATAATTCTGCTATGTTCAGAATTATTTCCCAGTTGAAATTATGTGGTGATAATATTACTGATCATGATATGTTAGAGAAAATTTTGACCACTTTTCATGCTCGAATATGCTCCTGCAGCAGCAATATCGAGAGATGGGATTCAAAAAGTATTCTGAACTTATCTCACATCTTCTTGTAGCTGAGCAACATAATGGGATATTAATGAAAAACCATGAAAGCCGACCTACTGGTTCATGTCCATTCCCTGAAGTGAATGAGACGAACTTCCACCAAGCTAAGCGTGGAAGAGGTCGTGGCCCCAGTTGTGGTCATGGCCGTGATCATGGAAGAAACTTTAATAATGGTAATAATAATGCACCAAAGAACCCTCCTCGTCACCATCAGTGGAAAAGAAAGGAACAAAAGCATGAAGTGGTGCAAGCACCAACTGCAGAAAATGCATGCTATAGATGTGGAGGAAAAGGGCACTGGTCACGTACTTGTCGTACGCCAAAGCACCTGGTCGAGCTTTATCAAGCCTCCGTAAAGAAGACAGAGAAAAATGCCGAAGCAAATTTTATTTCTGAAGATAATTTATATTTCATGCATTTGGATGTGACTGATTAATTTGCACTCCCAGAAGGAGAAATAAGTCATGTGATCGGTGGTGAATCTGTAGAAATATAAATATTTTAATTTTTGTTGTTTGTAATAGATAGTATGGTTATGCAAATTGTTATACATAAATAAAAGTTATGATTTGATAATGATATTTACTATAATATAATTTATTTATGTCATTTTGAAGAATATGGATAACATTATTAGATCAATTTAAACTCCAGCAGAGTTAGTAAAAAATATACAATCACCAGAAGTGGTTATATTTCGTATATCTCATTGTAACTAAATTTTGTTAACCACCAGAAGTGCTATATGCCTATGATCACCAGAAGTGATAATTTAGGCTTTCTATGGTTATAATTGAAGATAAGCTACATAAATATTCTCTATATTAAATGCACGCCTCGATTTGCTCCTGAAGTAGTAAATATTTTAAAAGAGGTTGAAGCATCACATTTGATGTGATTAATGTGCGTTCAGATAATTATGTTCGATTTCCTGAAGGATGAGAACTTTTGATAATATTAATCCATTTCCCGAAGTGAATGTGATAATATTAATAAATCTCGTAAATATGAACGCGCTCTTGATGTAAATATACTACAATTCACCTCAAGAAGAGGTAATATAATTGAGAGAATATATACTCAATATTTCGTATTTTAAATTTGCTCCTGAAGAAGTAACGCAATTGAAATTGCCTCTTGGAGTAGGAAAATATTATGAAGAGGAGTTTTCTTGTGCTTAAACAATTGTTGTACATTGTTTATTTGATTGTGATTTTCTCTCATGATACCAGAAGTGTCTGAGCAATATTTGATAGTATAAAATGTATCAACAACTCCTGAAGAGCTAACTGTTTGCCTAGAAGACACATGACACCAGTAATGTCCGATAAATATTAGATTGTGGATAATAAATGAAGGCGACCTTATATACAAATATGTCATTCATTGTATATGATTACGGTCAAAACATATGTTGTATTAAACTTGAAGTTTACTAATACAAATGACAATTATATTGAGACTACAAATGACTGAAAGATTGAAAATCTTCATGTTTCCACTATCATAGGGGGTAAGATAATATGTATGTGAGAAGTTACCCGCATTCTTTATTTTATATTAGATCATGTATCACAGTAAATCAGAAGTTTACTAATGCAAAAGCAGTCACGGTAAACCAGATATTACGCCCCACAATATTACGTCGATGTTATGCCTTGCAGTATTACATTACGGTGATGTTACGCTCCGCGGAATTAAGTTACGACGATGTTGCACCCTGTAGTATTGTGTGTTGAAATTTGTTAAAAGGTAATCGACATCAGTCCAAGGAAAAGATTATTTGGAGATTATAAGGATTGTAAGTGATGAATAAATTCGTGAAGGTGAGAAGGGAAGCAAGTCGAAGAAAATGAATTTTCGTCCAAGTTTGGCATTTTGGGGTAAAATACGGCCCGAGCTAAAATACGCAGTATTTATGGACTAGTGCCATACAAGGTACTACATGACCATGATAATAAGGTGTATAAGGTATGTGGAAAGTGAGTAATATTTTAAGTAATTTGGGGTAATTTTTAAATTGTGCGGGTAATTGATTAATTATCGGGTAACGGGACATTATCGGTTAACTAATAAGTGGATAATTAATATCCCACCCCACCCACGTGGCATGAAGCCACAAGAATGGAAGTGACTAATTAGTCACTTATGCTGCCACCTAGACAAGAATGAGTATGGAACGGACATCTAAGTTGTCTAATTATTACAAAGTCCAAACATATTCAAAAAGGAATCAAAGTGTATCCTTTCATAATCAGAATGTCGTTCAGTATTTTAACTTCAAGATTTTCCATCTTTCTTGGTTTGAAATAAAGACGTGAGAAATCAGAGACAATTCCATCATTCAAGATCAACCAACCATTTTACATTTTGTCCTTGATTCTTAAACCAAAACGATAGAAAGCAGAATCAAAAATTTCGTTTCAGCATTTCATTAAAACTACACTAGAGATCAAAAGTTAAGTTCATCTTTTGGACAAGGAAACAGAACCAAAGGAAATGATCAACAAAATCCTAAAGCAAGAGAATTTTCTTTCTTGGTTCAAATAATGTAACGCCAAGAACAGAAGCTCACGCGTTCAAATACATCAACGAGCAGAAGCTTAATTTCTTCCAAATTTTATGGTTCTAAAGGAGTACGGTGCAATCTTCGCCAAGAATAATATATGGAGTTCTCCCTACTCTAGGTATATTAAGGCACTTCCTTCTTTCTTTTGGCATGATCTAATGTGAAATGAATACGCTATTTCATAATGAATCTAATCCTAGCAACTAAGGTTGTCCATGTTCTTTCCGTACAAAGTTATTCTAAGAAAGTATGTAAGATCCGTAAGTCCTAGTGAAGTTCATATTGAGGGTATGTATGTCCATAATGTTCTTATGTCACTCTAAAAGATTTAGAACGTGATTCCATGAGTCGAGCATGCATTATATATATTGTATAGGGTCAAATTTGACCGTCAGCGTCTCTACGCCAGTGGGTACGCCCAGTGAGTGTACACCGACTAACGTAGTGGGTACGACTCGGACGTGGGGACAAAAGCGACATCGTTTAGGACTCAGTGTCTTCACTAGGGAGACGTTACCTATTTTTGTAACTTTTTGATTATTTCGAGGAAGGTCTCTTATTATATAAGGGAGACCTTTACATTGTAAAGAGGAGGATTGGGGAATAATACAACTCTCTCATTATCTGACTCTCTCTCTCTATCTCTGTCTCAAACGAACATATTCTCTTGAGTTCATATTATCACTTTCTAATACGAGATCTACAACAATAACATCATTTTTACATCTCTAGGTCTACTATATTTGATTACGATTTACCCTTCCCTTACTTTCGATTGTTTTCTAGCTTACAAAGTACATTGTTAACTTTTGAGCCAAACATATATGTATTTATTCTACTCTACCGAGCCGCGCTATTGTCGGCCGGGTACGGCACCTATTGTGCAACCACTGATCAGTTAGGTTTACCGAGCTCCACGTGGCCGGGTATGATTCTACCGAGCCTTATGATGGCCGGGTACATGTTTACCGGTCCTCTTTGAGGCCGGGTACGATATGATGATTATGATGCCCACAGAGGCGTATGTTTTTAAAAGTTTATGTATATAAATGTATTATGCATTTCATGTCATTAGCCCCAGAGGCACTCAAATGTTACAGGCTGTATCTCCTCTATCTCTCTTTACATTACTGTTCTTGTTTATGCTTTCCTACCTTACATACTCGGTACCTTATTTGTACTGACGTCCCTTTTGCCTGGGGACGCTGCGTTTCATGCCCGCAGGTCCTGATAGACAGGTCGAGAGCCCTCCAAGTAGGATATCAGCTCAGCGGAAGATGTTGGTGCGCTCCATTTGCTTCGGAGTTGCTCGTTTGGTTAGTATGATTTCGACGTGTATTGTTTGGTATGGCGGGACTCTGTCCCGACCTTCATGACATTTATGTACTCTTAGAGGCTTGTAGACATATGCCGTGTACGTGAAAGATTGTACGGCCTTGTCAGCCTATGTCTTGATTTTTAAATAATTATGTTGGCCTATTAGGCCCGTATGTCACTGTATATGATATTGTAATAAGAAAGATACGTTACGTTGGTACTCGGTTGAGTAAGGTACCGGCAGCCCGTCGCGGCCCATCGGTTTGGGTCGTGACAAAAGTGGTATCAAAGCAGTTCTGTCCTAGGGAGTCTACATGCCGTGTCTAGTAGAGTCTTGTTTATGGGTGTGTCGTTGTAAGCACTTGATTTTTTCCCTATACGAAATACTCCTATAAAATCCCCAGAAAAATAGATTTTGTTTATAGTTATTTGCCATTTTAGGAATTTTTATAGATTTTATTAATTGGTTGCATTTTTCTTGCATGTTTAATTTTATTTAAATCATGAAAAAATACCCAAAAATATCATGCATTGCATTTAGGATTCGTTTTTGCTTTTTTAGAATTAACTAGTAATTATTTGTTTTATAAAAATTGAAAATCACAAAAAAATGCTTCATTTTTACTCTTTTTCATTTTATTGATTTTTTTTCTCTTTTAATTTAGGACTAAATAGCTTTTATTATTTTTATAATTAGCTAATTAGTTTAAATTCACACTTTTGGATGATTTCGAATTTTTAATTTGTAGGATTTTAATTAAAAGAAAAAGGAAAACTTAGAAAATAAAAGAAAGAATTGGAAAAGAAAGGTTTGTCCTGTGAAATTGGGCCAAAATTAATGCTGAGCCCAATGCCTATACCCAAATCTGCCCAAACCCAATAACCCACTCAAAGCCCAATCTCCCTATCCAAATACTTATTACCCTTTGCCCTAATCTCTCACATAAAAGGGGAGTTAAGGCACAAAATAGATCAGATTTTGGAGATAATAGGAGCTGGACCTAAAGGGCGCAAGGCTCCCGGCTTCTATCTTCTTCTTCATTTTCTCCAAGCTCAACCAAAAGAAAAAAGAAAAAAACCATCCTCTCTCTCACTCTTAAGAACAACACTCCTCTTCCCTGAACAACACAAAATCGAACCAAAATCAAGAACTAAAAAAAACGCAAGAAAAGCTGGTGTTTTCAATTGAAATTTGAAGAGAGTTGATTGCGAAGTTCGATTTCCTTTCATTTTGGGTTTCTGAAAGCAGTTTTTTTTTGGAGCCAATGGATTTGCTGTTTCGTCGCTGATTCTTGCTGATTTTTGGGTTGCTAAGCTCTGTTCCAGCTCTTTCACCCTTATTTGGTTCCGTTTTCCTTGTTTTGCTGCTGCCTAGGTACATTATCTCAAACCTGTACTTTCTCCTTGATTGATGATGAATTTTTTGACTTGTTGCTGGCTCATTTGTAACAATTTGTTCAACCTGTTGCCAAAATTTGGTTTGAGCATAAGTGGATTATCCACAAGTTTAGTAGAGATGTGATACTTGTTTATTGGAATCTGATCTCATG